CAAACTTCTGGAGCAGGGACTTGCCCTCGATGCGCCAGATGGGATGGTCCTCCTTTCCAATGTCAGACAGGGAAATCAAGTAATCTCCCATCTGAAGAACAAAAACAAAAAATACTATTTTGTCTTTTTACTCGAGTTATTTATGCATTGATGCAGTAACACCCCATTCAACAGAAAGAAATATAGGCAAAACAATATGAAATTCAATAGACCCATTCCCATTGTCTTCCTTCCGTTGGAAGCCGTGGAATCCGCGCACAAAGGCGGACACAAGCTCCTCACATTCAATTGCACCTCCGCTGCACAACCCTTCGCGTAGTGAGAGCACAAGTGAAAGTTTGCGCAATTTGCACGTCCTGAGGCGTCGGTTGTCAAGTCATCTTCTATCGATCGGTAGATGGTTTTTAAAAGGGCTCTATTGGCTCACAGTTACCTAAGTGGCTTACTGACAAGAATCTGCTTTTAGGCAGTTTTTTTCTCTTTGGATAGCCACAAGGAGCGCACAACTGCTCAAACGGGCGGTTGCAAAGAAAAGAAATATTAGCGGGTCGACTCGTAGGTAGAAGCAACCGATCAATGTCATTGTAAGGTTCTTGAACTGTGCCTCGCATATTGGAAGGCACAAGATAAATGAAACAATGAGCGAATAGAAATGTCTTATAATGGGAAAATATACTACCCTGCACAACAAACATTGTATGAAAACATGCCCTCCGAGGAAATATGAAAAGATAAATCGACCATTTCATTCGTTTATGGCAGTACAGTCAAAGGTAAAAGGCGTGTGCACTCGCGCCCTTGGAGCATGCACACCGAGTTATTCCCGAATCTAGGACGCTCTCAACGGCACGTCGATACCCTATGAAAGCTCAGAGCATTGGGGGAGGGAACGGGCGGAGGCACCCTGACAAGATCCTAACTCGGATGAATGGAGATGAGTGGCCCTTGGTATGGGCCGGCAGCCTGCACCACCTAGCCTCATTTGTCGTCGTTCTTTTTCACTTTTCATCCATTTGATACATTGTTTCTTTTTGCTTATTTTGGTGCACCTTTGCAGAAACTGCATTTTTCAAATAATTCATCTTCAAATCAAACACCCGCATTGGCCGAGTTAAAAATGGAGGGAAATTGCATAATGCCCCAAAAGTGACCATATTCCTCGGGACCCAAAGCGGGAGACGCGTATCGGAGGGGGAGGGACGATTGTGTTACGAAACTTTAAAAGTTAAATTTCGGCGACAAATCACACCCTTTTAATTCTTTGTATACACCGTGCGCATTTCTTTTTCTGTAATTTGCAGACTGTTTGTCACGCTCATCTAATACATTTGGTGGAAATATTTCTTTAGTATTAACGTATTTATTTTTGTGTACCATGTCCATAGCACTGCTCACATGTCATACACAAATTAACCTACAGCATCTTCTCTGCCGAGCATATCTCGTCCCTTGACCAGAGAAAGCATCCTCTCACTGGTGCGATCCTTTCGTTTAACCACGTCTTTTATCTATTCGCGATTTTGGGGAGCTGAAGCAGGACAAAACGCCGTCCCACAAGCGTGCTGGCAGGACAGTGGGACCACGGCTGGGAAAGCGGGACCTGTCCCGCTCAAACCGGGACATCTGGTCCCTTTATAACACCCCCGTTTCTCCCGTACGGTCCCATGCTACATAGCAGAGGTTACGTTTTGTACGAGCGACTTCTGGCATAACAAGAGCAACGGGCACTCGCAAAACCGAGGCACCGCATTTAAGAGATGCTACCGAGGCGGAGATCCTGCACCAGCAAATCAAAGATCTGAAAAGGCAAGCCGTCAAGTGGACAGGCTTTGTGGAATCAAAGGGTGCCTTCCAAGCTCTCATCCGCAATTTCGCGGTGATCAACATATACCAGACTGAGTCGTTGCGGTACAAATTGGAAGAGAAGCAAAAAACAAAAGTCTGTCCTTTTAAATTTTTTAATTCAGACCTTTTTCCGGTAAGCTTCCGCACGTGCGTGCAGCCCCTCCCCTGGCCTTTCTTCCCGCAGTCACCATTTTTGCGGGGAAAAGTTTCGCCAACCAGCACGTACCTATCCGTGTAGGGTGACCACCTTCCTGCAGGCGAAATGCGGGACACCCTGACCGGGGGGGGGGGGGGGGGGGGGGGGAGTAAGAGGAGGACAGTATTTTCACGACTCGAGATAAACGTATTAAAAAAATTTGCCATCACGCACACCCCGATATCCTGTGCTGTCCAAAAGCATATTATTCACCCAAACTTGTGTGGCGGCAATTAAGCTAAAATTATTTTCAGTCACAGTGATACATTTTTTTGTGCGATTGTAATGGCAAATATTTTATTACGGTTGTACGTCTAGGTTGTAAGACTAAGTTGTATGTCTAAGAAATACAACTTAGACATTAGCGTGTCCAAGTCGGAAACATAAAAATCGACTGCAGCAGACCCCAATGCATGAAAGGGAAATAAGAAACAGTAAATCTTTTACGGCTTATTGTTTCCTGACGATACTTACTCTTATACTAACATGCTCTTGCATAAAATTAGAACCTTATGTTGTTTTTTGGACCTTTGTGAGTTGAAGGATTTTTGCCTTCTGTGGCCGTCTTCACCAAAAAAAAAAAAAGTTTTTGAGAACAATTTTTTGCATTGCACAGTGTGATTTGCAAATAGTTAAAATAGTTATTATTTTAGCTTTAGGAGAGCAATTTTCGCTCGCAATATTTTACCATCAAGGGGAGAGGCGCAACGGCACATGCGCGTCCGTCTCCTGCAAGAACGATGGTCGCTTTCCGCAGTGCTTGTATAGGAAATGGCGCTACCTCATGGCCCGCTCTTCAGAAGCGCCATAATTTGCGTAGTGAATGCTGCGACAATGTGAAATGCGGGACATTTTAAAGATTTTGGTATTTCTTGCGGGACGCGGGACACGAGCCCTCAATGCGGGACAGTCCCGCGAGTCGCGGGACGGGTGGTCACCCTATATGCGTGTATTTCGTCTTCATGGGCATTCTTGTTTAAACATTCGCTAGCATGGGGCAGAAAAGCCGACAAAGATCAATGCAAAGGCACAATGCCAATGTATTCTAACGGGCGGAGGTATATTGGACTGCCCTTCCTATATTGTGCAAAGACAACTCTGCAGACGGTGCTCGCTACTGGAGAAGAGTCTATCGGAAGTGCTCTTTATTCGCGTCTACCCACATGAGGAGAGGAGGTAGACTTTTCTGGTGTCGTGCTGGAGGTCACCTAAAACTGCCTGGATGGATGATGGATGGTAATGGCTATACCCTCTGTAATGGGCGGCAGCTTGCGCCACCTAGCCAAACAGCCTTGTGGGTCGCATGTGAGGGTTTCCGGACCCTGATATTATCTGAAAGTATAATATTTTTTTTATTGCCAATACTTCAGAGTGAATTTTCTCACGTTGCTTTCCCTGTGCATTGTAGGTGGCCACAAAGGAGTCAAGCTGTGCCCATTTTTATTACCAAAAATAAATCGATATTCTACCAGCTGCTAAAAGAAAAAAAGGCTCAGGCTCTCCGAGCTTAATAAAAAGAATACAAGTTCTTAAAGCATGCAGCTGCACTGCCAAAATGCACTGTCTACGAGCACATTTCCTTTTTTGTATGTTCATTATTTTTGTTCCCGCACGGTCGCTCCGACAGTCAATTCCGCAATACCAAGAAATCGATCAACATATATCCTGAGCACCTCTGCGGTTTTGGCTTGCACACGCAATGAGGCAAATAGTGGTGTGTATGCCCGGAAGGTAGTCTGCGAGCTTTCACAAAATGAGGTACAAGTACCTGCTCGTCCAACTAATAATAATAATATTAATTTAATAAATATTAATTTGGCTCAGGGGAGCCGCGGCACTGCAGAGAGGCAACAGCCCGTACCATAGAGGTTTGCGGTGCCGCGGGTCTTCATAGTACAACGAACGTCACTGCAATTCAGTAACGCAGTCTCAGTACTTTCTAAGTAACTGCTTCCTCCAACTTCCTTCGGTCGGTCACAATAGTCCTCTCATTCCGTCCAACCGTTAAACGCTGGCCCCGTCCACTTGCACCTCTTCCAAGTTCCACAACGTTGTCCCACTTCCAAAGAGCAGCCATCTTTGTATCGTCACGTGACTTGACCAACTCGCCGGAGGAAATGACGTCAAAATAATGAGCCCCGCCCTCGATTTTCCATTCCTCAATGAACCTCCGGAAAGAGCAACCCCCCCCCCCCCCCCATAATATAGAGTAATATGGGCAACCCTCCAGCCCTCGACCCACAGAAGACTTCCGACCAGCCCGTGGTTGGCCACAGTCTTTCCAAGGAAGCCCGGCCCGGTGCCAGCAGACCCGCTGCTAACGGTGCAAAGAGAAGTGCACGTAAAGGAAGAGCGCCATGATGCACTCCAAATGCAGATGCTATAAAGATACCAGAAAGAACGAGAGAAACTGAATGTGGGTCCTCTACCCATATTATGTACCCGGCTTAAAATTCTGCGTACCTATGTTCTCATATACACTGTGCTTAGTGTCAGCATGGGTTTTATCATTCTCATTAGTCTTTTGCATTGTGCGAATGTGCCAGTTTCTATGTGCTTCGCTTAACGGCTGGCAAGCTGTATTGGCCACAAGTGTAACGTTAAAGTAGACTCATTCTAAAACTCGAAGCGCCTCACCGCGGCGTAATGCCCCGTTACGCATTGTGGGAATCAGTGGGAAGCAGAATCCATACGCGCTCCACTTGTGGCCCACAGGTTCTCCGAACGCAACGCGTACATCCACCATATAGGATTTCTTTTAACATTCATTTGTGTTTACGAAAAACATGAGGAAGGTAACAGAGAGAAGGGGTCTTGATCCTCATGTTTGATACGGTAATCACCAACGCGCTCGTTTTGTACCTCCGGTTCCTCGGCCGTCGGGCCGTGTCTTTCGTTCACACTTGGCCACCGACGGAACATTCGACCAGGGAAAACTCGGTCGCGCCATGGCACTCACCACAGGCTCGTGAACATGTCGGTAGCCGGCCTCAACAACCTCGCCATCACTGATGTCGTCCCACTTTCGCTTGCTGGGTATTCGCTGCTGGAGAGTCGATTCTGGAGCATGGCTGTCCTTGCTCGCCGCTTCAAGCTTGGCGTTCAGGCGGGCCGACAACCGCTGCAATGTCAAACCCTCGACCTGAACGTCGGGCTGCTTTGCTGAAGGATCTTTCATTTTACCGCGATTTTTGGACCTCGTACGCATGCCTACACGCACATCACAGCTTGCTGTCGTGGAAAACGGCGCACCCAAGGCGTGTTCCCTTTGCGAGTCGGGATCAAATGCGATTCAAGATTGAGGCAGGACGGATGGCGAGACCACACCAACCACACTGTGCGCCAGACCCGTGTGCCTGTGTCGCCTGGTGTCGCCAGTGTAGGCCTGTAGGGACAAACTTTCCCTAGATTTCAGGCACCATACCTAGAGTTACCTAGAGTGGCTAGGCACTGGGAGTAGGGGTGTCGCGGACCGGCCGAGGTTCGAGTTCGACCAGGTTCGACGTTTTCGACCTTTTAGTAGATATTTCGACGAACCTTGTATTGAGGTTCGACTCGTGTGCGCATGCGCGACAGGCTACCGGCCAGTTGGCTTCGGATTGGATGGTGATGGCTAGGGGATGAATTATAGCGAGTTCGTTTCACACGCACTGGCACTAGGGGTGTCGCGAACCGGCCGCGGTTCGAGTTCGACCAGGTTCGACTTTTTCGAACTTTTAGTGAAAATTTCGACGAACCTTCTATTAAGGTTCGACTCGTGTGCGCATGCGCGACAGTCTGGCCAGTTGGCTTCGGATTGGATGATAATGGCTAAGAGATGAATTATGTGCAGCGCTGATTGGTTATTTCAGTTAATACAGCACAAAACAATTAAGTTATTAACTTCTTCAGTGATTAGAATTGGTTTCTTTAATTGCAACTGTTCATAAATTTAAAAATAACCCTTCGCATAAAAAAAATTCTCCAAAGTTAGACATGCTTCTATAAAGGTCTGGCCACGCTGTCCACAAAGTCGAACCGGTCGAAATTTGGTTAAAAGTCGAAGGTTCGTCGAACCGGTTCGACCCAGTCGAACCCCGAAAGTTCGACCAAAAAATCTGGTTCGACAAAAGTTCGCGACACCCCTAACTGGCACCGTTCGAGTACTATCCCAGAATGCATCGCACTCACAGAGTGTTGCACGGAAAACTGGACTCAAACGAACTCGCCAAATGCACCGAGTGCAGAAGACTGATGCTGCCGCTGTAGCGATACCGCATACTAGGCGTATGCGTGCCGGAAAGAAGTCAGACGACGAACTGCGCTCTAGGTCATGAAGGAACCAAAAAGCCCCCGTTTATTGATCGGGCCGATAATATACACTGCCGGGAACATCACGTGCTCATGACGCTGGGCGGACGGGCCAGCGATAACAACATAGGCAAGCGATAACAGACAACAACACATCTCTCTTTTTTCGAGAACAAAAAAAACGTCGCACATACAAGACAAAGAATATACGTTGCCCCCAAACTTCAAAACAAAACATAGTCATCAATACCCAGCCTTATGGGTTTCTTAACTACTCTTCCAAACCGCGTTACAGTGAGAGTAGGGTCACCATTGGCTACCGCGCAAGATGGAGGCGCCGAATCTGTAGCCGCAGAGTCGTCCGTGCTATGCCAGGGGGGGGAAGGAGGGAAAGGGAACGCGGCGCCCGCGGCGCAAAGCGGCGCAAAGCGGAGGCTGCCATATTAAAACCGCTTACGTTGCCAGCATAGGTTTTGCAGTGGAGAAGTTGCTGCCAAATACGGCGAACTAATTTTTACTTTCTTTTCGTTTTGGAAAGAGAATGTATTGTTGTGTTATATAAGTCCTCCTGCATACAGACAAAGAAGTTTAATTATATTTGTCTTGTTTACTCGGCTTGAAACCCTAAAAACAGGTTTTGGCAACTTATTGCTTCCATCATTTTGGAGTGCGCAAGGCAGTTATCTCGCTGTTCTGGTTTCGGTTACGAAAGCAAGGCAAAACGCTCGTAGTTCCCTCCCTCTGTACACTTTGGACACCTTCCACACTTTGACACCGGATAACTGGATGAACAAGGATTTAGATTTGCTTCAGAGGTCACTTTCGCCGCTTCCCCACCGTCGAGCAGCCGGATCAGCTGACGGCAAGCCGCGGATGAAAGGCTTGAGCATCAACAGCCTAGAGCCACTACAACAGCCCAAGTGCACTCACGATGCGGGCGACGCGGGCTTCTGTCAATCCAGGGGCAGACCCAAGGGGGAGGCGACGGGGGCGGCCGCCTACCCTCCAAGCAGTCGACCCCCCCCCCCCCCCCCCCCCCTGCCCCCTTCTTAAAAGGCGATTTGACATGGGTAGATCCCCCGAAATAAAACCAACTCCCGTCCTGCCAGGTGGTAGGAAGCTCGGTACTCAAGGACGAGGGTTCGAAATAGGGTAGGCCGCACCCTAGCAGCCGACACACTTGGAGAACCACTCCGTCGCTTAGACTGAAGTCCGCGGCGGCGGTTTCAAAGCACGGCTTAGAAGTAAGAACCAAAAGTCGGCGCAGCGGCGCACATCTAGGGGCCGTCGGCGCAGTGTGGTTCTGCGGCGGTTAAAACAAAAGGCGCAACCGGAGTCCTGTTTATCTAGCTTTAGAGTTTAGATTTTCCCTCCCCCCCATCGCCCCCCCCCCCCCCCCCCCGCCCCCGCAAAAAAAAAAAAAAAAAACGGAGTTTTGGATCCGCCCCTGGGTCAACCGGTAGCCCAGCACAAACCGTGAACGTTCCAGCTCTTCGTCATGACACGCTGTTGCAGAAAGCAGGGTAAAATAAAACTACACGTACCACCGAATCAAATGCACTGTTATCGTGGTTATCGTAAATATTGGCTTGTGATTGCGCCTTTGTAGATCATCTTATTCATTTTGCTGGAGAGACGCAACCAACGGGCATAACAAAATCGTTTGCGACTCCGCATACCTCGCAAAAGCACTTACCCAGTCACCTTGCGAAAAGCGCGAAACACGGAGTCCGCACCGCCCTGACTTACCAGTCTTTTATCTGCTTTAGAGCAGTTTGTATCTGCTAGTAGGCATGTCTACTGAAACTGCAACTTGAAACTTGGTGCAATGCCAGAGAGAAAAGAGACAAAGTTGGGAAAGCATGCTCGCTCTCTCCAATTTCTGAACTCTCAAGTGATTGTACCATAATAAATTCACCAACACCTCTTTCCAAAATAAAGAAAAAACGCTATGTTCACTACGTAAAAAATGGTCTCAGTTCATGCATCCGTAGGCAGGTAGGAAACGTTGCCCTAATTTATTCACACCGCATGACGAGCGCAACAAATTCACACGAGATTTACAAGAAAATATCAGTGGTGACTTATGTTTCTCTGAAATTCTGTATGACCGGTCGTTTGCAGGACCGAATCATCTACTCGGGCGGTGTGCGTCGCTGTGCAAACGCCAACAACACGAAGCATAAAAACGGAAGGTCTAGGTCAAGAATCCGTAGTCCATTGTTCAATTAAAACGACGTAATTTTGTTGAAAACGCCCGCAGCTTTTTACTCACGGTATGCGTCGAGAATCTCCCACATTTTGAAACGAAACGAAGGAAGATTTACTTTTAAAAGCGCTCGCTGCGTCCTCCCGGACCAGTTGGACCGGATCAGCTGACGACGACGGAACTGAACCCGTTGAATTTCAACGCCACAATAACCAATTTGCGCTTCGTGTTAGTATGGGATTCTACCTCCAAGCACCGCACGACACACCACGAACGTTTCAACTCTTTGTCGCATCGCCGTGTTGCACCAAACCTATCTCTATGCACCAAACAGAACAAGATCACCGAAGTGAACGGAGCGCTGTCGTGAACCTTGGCTTGTGGTTGCGCACTCGTGGACCCTGTCACTCCCTTCGCTTTCAAAGCACGCACGACGCTTACGAATGATACTTTCCGTCTTTCGGGACCATCACAGGGGCACTTCTCCGGTCACGTCTTCGCTACATGTGCTGGCAAACCGCGTCAAACGTGGTCAAACCGAAGCGCCGAAGCAATACCGGCGCCATGTTGAAACTTGAACGTGCGTTGTTGCTAGATTTTCTCCGACCAAACAAAAACAACGAAAGCAAACCGGCTCTAGCTTCCAGCGTACATCGGCGTTGCGCCGTTGCCAGATTTTCTCCGTCAGCTCTAACTTAAAGATGACCTAGAGATGCAGCAACACTGGTCTCAAGTTTTAACATGGCGGCCCCCACGGAGCGCCGTAAATTCTGAGGAGGGTGCATTGGAAGCGGCGGCACCTTCCCCCCCCTGTGCTATGCAGTACTTGGTTGCTGTAGCCGCAGAGTCGTAGTCGCAGAGTCGTCTGTGCTATGACCCAACTAACCCAACTGTGCAGTACTCGACTGCTGTTTATTGTCCGGAAACTCGTATGCCTCCGCGTTTTCACATTCTTTTGGGAGACGGTTAAAGGGACACTGACAGGGTGTTTATGCTCGCCGAGGTTGTTAGTTGTACGTGACATATGAGGGCTCAACTACCCAGAACAGAATTTGCGGCTCGAAATTCGGTTTCTTTCCGCCCGAAAACCGCCGATCAAGAATTGGCCGGTTCGAGTCTCGCTCACTCTCTTTTTCGCGGTCACGGGCCGTTTTCTAAGGTCGATGCGACCACCAAATTTAATTAAAGTCGTTGGTCACTGAAGGCACACACTCAATATTAAAAATAGAAAAAAACATTGAACCCATTTTTTGTGGCTTCTAAAAAGCTGTAAATACGTTGATTGAAAAAAAAAGTTCCACAGACAACCGGAAGCATTCTGTGCGTTCGTCGTTTCGCGTATCGTGGGACTCGCGGGGACGGCGATGGCAGCGGACGACGGGCGTGGGACCTCTATTTCAGAACTGTCGTTCGCGGTACCGGCGAATTCTGTCTACCGTTAAAAGAGAAATTTGGGACTGATCAAAAGAATTGGTATTCATCCCGTACGACACGCCCGGCCACCAAGCCGATTTGCACGAAGACGTCGCCGAGCCGTCGCTCCCTTCTCGTGGCTAAAGACATCGCTCGCGCAAAGGTCAAGCACGACGTGTCTACTTCGAGTTGAATATGCACGCGTACGATTTCTTTACTAGGTGCGAATGTCCCCAAAGCGTGGTGCTTCCCGACTTCGACCCGGGAGTGCTTTTGCTAGAGAAAACTCGACAGCAAACTTTCAAACTTACAGTTTACCGCCTGAATTATTACTAAGGAAAGAGATCCACCAGGAACGAGTTTCCCCAGTAGCTCAGTGGGAAAGACGTCCGCTTCACACGCCGTAGGACCGGGTTCGATCCCCCAGGAAAGAGATCCACCAGGAACGA